AACCTTGGAGTTTGCTACAGAAATGGCATAGGCACAGCTAAAGATAAAAAAAAGGCATTTGAGTGGTATTTGAAATCTGCTGAAGGTGGAAATTCAAATGGACAATACGCTATTGGACACTGTTATGAAAATGGTATAGGCACAACCAAGGATGAAAAAAAGGCATTTGAGTGGTATTTGAAATCTGCTAAAGGTAGCAATTCAAATGGACAATTATATGTCGGATTCTACTATGACAAAGGCATAGGCACAGCCAAGGATGAAAAAAAGGCATTTGAGTGGTATTTGAAATATGCTAAAGGTGGTAATTCAAATGGACAATTATATGTCGGATTCTACTATTACAAAGGCATAGGCACAACCAAGGATGAAAAAAAGGCATTTGAGTGGTATTTGAAATCTGCTGGAGGTGGTGATTGTAATGGACAATTCAGCGTCGGATTCTGCTATGAAAAGGGCATAGGCACAGCTAAGCATGAAAAAAAGGCATTTAAATGGTATTTGAAATCCGCTAAAGGTGGCAATTCTAGTGGACAATATAACCTTGGAGTTTGCTACAGAAATGGCATAGGCACAGCTAAAGATAAAAAAAAGGCATTTGAGTGGTATTTGAAATCCGCTAAAGGTGGCAATTCAAATGGACAATACGCTATTGGATACTGCTATGAAAATGGCATAGGCACAGCCAAGGATGATAAAAAGGCGTTGGAGTGGTATTTGAAATCTGCTGAAGGTGGCAATTCGAATGGACAATTAAATGTCGGATTCTACTATGACGAAGGCATAGGCACAGCAAAGGATGAAAAAAAATCATTTGAGTGGTATTTGAAATCTGCTGAAGGTGGCAATTCAGATGGACAATCCAATACCGGATTCTGCTACAGACATGGAATAGGCACAACCAAGGATGAAAAAAAGGCATTTGAATGGTATTTGAAATCTGCTGAAGGTGGCAATTCAGATGGACAATCCAATACCGGATTCTGCTACAGACATGGAATAGGCACAACCAAGGACGAAAAAAAGGCATTTGAGTGGTATTTGAAATCTGCTAAAGGTGGCAATTCAAATGGACAATACGCTATTGGGCACTGCTATGAAAATGGTATAGGCACAGCCAAGGATGATAAAAAGGCAATGGAGTGGTATTTGAAATCTGCTGGAGGTGGTGATTGTAATGGACAATTCTGTGTCGGATTATGCTATGACAAGGGCATAGGCACAGCCAAGGATGAAAAAAATGCATTTGAGTGGTATTTGAAATCTGCTGAAGGTGGCAATTCAAATGGACAATTCATTGTCGGGAACTGCTACAGAAATGGCATAGGCACAGCCAAGGATCAAAAAAAGGCATTTGAATGGTATTTGAAATCTGCTGAAGGTGGCAATTCAGATGGACAATTCAATGTCGGATTCTGCTATGACAATGGCATAGTCACAGCCAAGGATGAAAAAAAGGCATTTGAGTGGTATTTGAAATCTGCTGAAGGTGGTGATTCTAGTGGACAATTAAAAGTCGGAATATGCTATGACAAAGGCATAGGTACAGCCAAGGATGATAAAAAGTCATTTGAGTGGTATTTGAAATCTGCTGAAGGTGGCAATTCGATAGGACAATATAATATCGGAATCCTCTATGAATGTGGCAGTGGCACAGCCAAGGATGGAAAAAAGGCATTTGAGTGGTATTTGAAATCTGCTGAAGGTGGTAATTCTAGTGGACAAAATAGACTTGGATGGTGTTATCAAAATGGCATAGGCACAGCCAAAGATGAAAAAAAAGCATTTGAGTGGTATTTGAAATCTGCTGAAGGTGGCAATTCAAATGGACAATACGCTATTGGATACTGCTATGAGAATGGCATAGGCACAGCCAAGGATGATAAAAAGGCATTTGAGTGGTATTTGAAATCTGCTGAAGGTGGCCATTCAAATGGGCAATTCAATGTCGGAATCTTCTATAACGAAGGCATAGGAACAGCCAAGGATGAGAAAAAGTCATTTGAGTGGTTTTTGAAATCCGCTGAAGGCGGCAATTCGAATGGACAATACAATACCGGAATCTGCTACAGAAATGGCATAGGCACAGTCAAGGATGATAAAAAGGCATTTGAGTGGTATTTGAAATCTGCTGAAGGTGGCAATTCGAATGGACAATTCAATGTCGGATTCTACTATGATGAAGGCATAGGCACAGCTAAGGATGAAAAAAAGGCATTTGAGTGGTATTTAAAATCTGCTGAAGGTGGCAATTCAGATGGACAATCCAATACCGGATTCTGCTACAGATATGGAATAGGCACAACCAAGGATGAAAAAAAGGCGTTGGAGTGGAATTTGAAATCTGCCGAAAATGGCAATTCGAATGGACAATTCAATGTCGGATTTTACTATGACGAAGGCATAGGCACAGCTAAGGATAAAAAAAAAGCATTTGAGTGGTATTTGAAATCTGCTGAAGGTGGCAATTCAGATGGACAATCCAATACTGGATCCTGCTACAGACATGGCATAGGTACAACCAAGGATGAAAAAAAGGCATTTGAGTGGTATTTGAAATCTGCTAAAGGCGGCAATTCAAATGGACAATTAAATGTCGGATTATGCTATGATAAATGCATAGGCACAGCTAAAGATGAAAAAAAGGCATTTGAGTGGTATTTGAAATCTGCTGAAGGTGGCAATTTGTATGGACAAGATAATCTTGGAAGGTGCTATCTAAATGGTAGGGGCACAGCCAAGGATGAAAAAAAGGCATTTGAGTGGTATTTAAAATCTGCAGAAAATGGTAGTTATAGTGGACAATATGCGCTTGGATTATGTTATAGAAATGGCTACGGAACATCACCTAATCAGGAAAAGGCTATTGAATGGTTGCAAAAAGCGAAAAGCAATAAAAATTTTCAAAAGGCAGTTGACTACGAAAGTTTTAACGATTCTCTAAAAAAATTATTATCTGACAACAAATTATTAATATCGTGGATTCCATTTAATGAGTTAGAATTTATTGGAAAGCTTGGAAAAGGTGGGTTTGGAACTGTACATGCCGCTAATTGGAGCCGTACAGCAGATGGTGGTACTTTTAATCGGCTTGTTGCACTCAAATTATTTCATGGATCAATAAACAGCTGCGAGGAACTCATAAAAGAGGTAATTATTTGACAACTCAAGTTTTATAATTTAGTCATTACTATTCACTTCTTAATATTTATAATTTTAAAGTTAATCACATATTCAAACATTGGATCTAAAAATCCCCCGTTTTTACAATGTTATGGAATGTCAAAAGATGAAGGCACAGATGATTATATTTTAGTAATGCAATATGCAAAAATGGGATCTTTACGTGAGAACCTTTACGAAATTGCACGAATGAAATGGGAGAAAAAATTAGAATTATTATCCTACATAGCATCCGATCTTCAATTAATTCATTCGAATAACATTATTCATTGTGATTTACATAGTGGTAATATATTTCAAAATGATTTATATAATGCTTATATCGGCGATTTAGGATTTGCAACATCGATTAATAAAACATTAGACAAAGAATCAGGTGGAATTTATGGAGCTTTGCCGTATATAGCTCCAGAAGTTTTACAAGGAAAATCGTTTACCAAAGCATCAGATATTTATTCTTTTGGAATGATTATGTGGGAGATTTCTTCGGGAAATGTTGTATTTGCTGACTATAAAGATGATGATTTAAGATTGGCATTAGAAATTTGTGAAGGGTTAAGACCAACTATCATTAAAGGCACAACACCATGTTACTTAAATCTTTTAAAAAAGTGTTGGGATAAAAATCCAGAAAACCGACCGTCAGCTATAGAAATCCATAAAACTATTTTAAATTGGAAAAATAGTACTAAAATCTTTGCCGAGTTTTTAAAATCTGATAAAGAAATTAAGATCAAAAATAATGGTTTTAACAATATAGAAGATAGTACGATGCATACTAGCAAATTCATTAGTTATATTAACCCGCAGTCTAATAATAATATTTATATTGAAGACATTGTAAAGTAACTAATCATATTAGTGTATTTGAACAAAGTCTCTCCAATAAAAGAATATTAAGTGATATATATATATAGTAAATAGTGTTACGGGCTATTTTGTACTAAAAGAAACAACAAATCGATAGTTAGCACTTTTACTTATAACTTTGACTAATATATTCTTTATTCTGTTAGGCTTCTCGCCAGGGGCGTGACGTTGGTGATTCAAATTACCAATTTTTATTAACTTATAGATTCCTTGTGCATTATAACTGACTTTGACCACAACACTTTGGGTCAATACTTTACTCGAACCACGGTATGTCAGGTTCTGGACTAGACCACAGTACGTCGGGTCTGTCAACTAGCTCAGTAAAACGTCGAGCTGTGCTAAGTTAAGTTCAGTACGTCGAACCTATACTTCTGTATTTTTGTCGAGTTATATTTTGCACGCAAATTGTATTGATTTTATTTTACTACTTACAAGAGATGGTAATTGCAATACAATACAATAATGTCCCTTTAGTAATAAGAATACACGGTTCTTTTATAACAATTAATGTTTTGAGGCTAAGGGGTTTTATCAACTAAGGAGGTCTCTAATCTCTTTCTAACACGACCCCTCCCTCTTATTATTCTATCTGATGACACTTCTTATAATTATTTTCTCGTCACTACTCTCGCGTCATACTTAGGCTTAAACCTAATAACCAGAATTTTGTTGATAACCACGTAGGTATACCTATTTATAGTAATTTCCTTATTTATTTTACTCGGGTTCTCAAAAACGACACTTATTAAAATTGGGGCATTTCTGGCGTAGTTCCGACCTTATTTCCGGGATTACCAATTTTCCCCGTAACATTCTCCCACACTTATTTTAGGTGTACCACGCCTAAAATACAATTTGATATAGTCTAATTTTTCGTGTTAGTTTTTTCGTACATAGTACCTTTTTAATAATTTTCGATTTATAGGTGTTTTTATTATATTTTCATCAAGAGTACGAAGTTTAAACACTCCCTTTGTTTGGATTTTATGGATAACGAATGGTTCTTTCCATTTAGGGCTGAGTTTATGACTTTTTGAGTTTTCTTGTGAAGCCTTAAAGACCAACACAAGCTCTCCTTTCTTTAATTCCTCGATAATTGAAGCCTGTTTATCACATCTTTCTTTAACTTTCTGTTGGGCTCTTTCTACTCGTATCACTGCTGCAGCCCTTTCATTAGGTATTACTTCAATTAAGTCAAAAAGTCGTTGTATGAAGGTACCCTCTAATAAATTTTCTGACTCGCTAGGGTGTATTGGGAGGTGCACCTCTCTCCTATAAACTAGATAGAACGGAGTCATCTTCATGGTATTTTGTTTAGCCGTTCGATAGGCAAAAAGGACTGATGAAATTAATAGGTCCCAATCCCAAACGTTAGTTACGAGTTTGGCTATAGATTCACAAAGGGTTTTGTTGAATCTTTCGACTAAACCGTTCGTTTGTGGATGGTAGGGAGTCGAATAGTAATGTTTGACCTTAAATCTTTTCAGGAATTCATCCATTAGGTTATTCCTAAAATGAGTCCCTCTATCCGATAGTAGATATTGAGGACACCCATGCTGGCACACTATGTC